TATACACCAGGCCATACCCAGCCAGGTCTTTTTTTTTTTTTTTAAGATTTTATTTATTTAATCATGAGACACACAGAGAGAGAGAGGCAGAGAAACAGGCAGAGGGAAAAGCAGGCTCCCGATGTGAGAGGGAGCCCGATGTGAGACTCGATCCCGGGTCTCCAGGATCATGCCCTGGCTGAAGGCGGCGCTAAACTACTGAGCCACCCAGGCTGCCCCCCAGCCAGGTCTTAAGACCATGGCTGATTCGTTAGCTTAAAAAAGTGTTTATTATAACAATGATTAATTTCGTAATTCTTTACTGCCTGACATACAGTACCTTTGGAAACAAGTACAACAATGCATACAAGAAAGAGAATTTTATGTAGTTTGTCAGAGTTGAAAAAATGTTTTCAGGTGTAGATAACTTCTTAATTTTCATCCACAAACCTATGTATTACAGCTATGTGTCTTGAAAGATTGAAAAAAAAAAAAAAAAGAAAGAAAAGAAAAATCAAAAGAACAGTGTCCACAAAGTGTATATGAAGAAAATCCTCAAATACTAACAGTGAATTAACAATGAGTCCTATATTTTGTTTGGAAATTGAAGACAAATCTATATTGTTCTTTAATCTTAGAAATTTAGAAAAACTCATATATTTACTCATTTTAAATAGTCAAGTAAGAAAATATAAAATAGTATCTAGAAGGTGCATTTAATGTAGTGCCTTCTTTAATTATCTCAAGATTTCATAATTTCCATGAAGCTGTTGAATGGTTACTAGTTTGAATGAAGCGTCCTGATTCATAAACACCTATCCTAAACTCTACTTTTGGACCAGATTCATACTTTAGTTACAAATAACAAGTGGTCTAAGTTTCAAAAATACAAGCCACATATTCTAAAGCCCCCACCCCCATATCTCAGCCTACTAGCGTTTTGAGAGTTCTCTTATTTTGGGAAACTCATGATAATCTCATTACCTAAATACCATCTGTACCTATTTATCCAAAGAAGCAAAGAACCCTTTAGCATAAGCCAAGTGTGAAATAATTTTTCTATTTTTTAAAAGTAGGTTAGGCCTTAAAAAAGGGGAAAAAAAGCGAGGTTGATTTGGTTTATTAAAGTCATCTCTGTAACATACTTACACTTTCATAAAAATACTGACTCAACTTTGTATTTCATCTGTTATATTTTAAAAATTATATGAAACTAGATTAAAGCATGAAACTAAAATTGCCAACATGTTTTGCCCTTTGTTTTCTATTGATGACCACTATAATGGCCTTTTAGTAGATTCTGCTTATTAATTCAGGGGTCATGAAAAGCATCAAAGTATATCTGAATTATAATGCTAAGTGTATTTTCTAGATCGATTCCTAAATTCTTGTCAGTCAGTCATTGTACGGCAACAATACATACAACAATTGCAAAAGGATATGCCCGAAATAGATCAAAGATTCACTGTTACTTAAGACATTTACTAACCAATTTCCTTATTTTGAGCTCCAATAAGCATTCACATCTAAAAGCATACATTTAAAAAGAGGAAATAATGGAATTGCTGAAAACAAGATTCATGTACAAAAATCAACCAGTGATAATAATTTGAGAAAAAGTGGAAAAACTTAATTTACAATTATATCCCCCCTATCCCTTTTGAAGATTTTATTTGAGAGGGACAGAGGAAGAGAACAAGCAAGAGCACAAAAGCAGGAGGAGGAAGAAGCAGACCCCCTGCTAAGCAGGGAGCCCCATGTGAAGTTTGATGCCAAGGATGCCAGGATCATGACCTGAGTCAAAGGCAGCTGCCCAACTAACTGAGTCACCCAGGTGCCCCCAATTTTATCCTCTTTAAATCATATATTTGCATATCCTGCATTAAAATAAGCTTAAATATATGTAATAGACATTAAATATGCATATATATACTACACAGTATTTAACCTATTAAGAAATATACAAAATCTATATGATATATGAATAAAGAACTATAAAATTACTGAGGAATATAAAAGATCTAAATATATACACTATACTACTGTATGGGAGTTTTTGTTACTGTAACTATGTCAGTTTTTCCCAAATTAATCCACACCTTTAAGCAATTTGTAATAAAAATACCAATAGAAATTGGGGGAAATTTAACCTATGCATTAAAAATTTCATTTTGGGGGGTCCTGGGATTGTGTGCCCCACGTCTGGCTCCCAGCTGTGGGGAGTCTGCTCATCCCTCTCCCCCTGGACCTCCCCTTGCTTGTGCTCTCACTTGCTCTCAAACACAATCTTTTAATAAATAAATAAAAATTTCTGTTGAAAGGAGAAATAAATGACCACCTAAAGAAACAGAAGATACAAAACAAGACTACAGCCTTTCCAGATATCAAAATATATTATTCAGCTATAGTAATTAAAGTAATCCTATACTGGTAAAGGAATAGAGAATTAGACTAATGAAACCAATACGGTAAGATCAATAAATAAATATTACTACATAAAATTAAACTTCCACATGGCAAATGAGTCCAAAGGTCAAGGGACAAATGATAATCTGGGAAAATGTTTACAACATAAGACAAAAGGTTAATATCCTTAAAATATAAAATATTCTAACAAATCAAATTTTTTACAGGTAAGAAAAACCTCAACATTAAAACAAAGGGTAAGGACATAAAATTGGATGTCTGTTATAGATATAAAAGATATTCATCCTCAGTAAGGAAAGCAAATTTGAGCAATGAAAATTTGTCATGTCTTAGATTGGCAAAGATTAAAAAGAATGATAAATGCTGCATTAGGAAGAGTGTGGAGAAATGGACGCTTGTATGTAATAATGAAAGCACAGAAGAAGCTGTTTTACTGTTTTAGAATGCAGTTTAGCAGTATCGACCAAAATATTAAATGTATATATTCTTTGGTCCTGTAATTTTACATGTTGGAATCTATTCTATAGGTAAACGTGCCCAAGTCTGTCTGTAGAGAACCACGTATATAACGTCCAGGTACCACCATATACTAGTATCCAAAAAAATAGAAAGGCCTTAAAGGACACCAAGTGAATGATTCAGATAAATTAAAAATCGCACATTCATATAATGGAAAACAGTGCAACCCAGAAATAAAAAAGGTAGCTCTATGTGTATTCCCTCGGAAAGCTATCTGACAGTATACTGTACTGGGAGTATACTGCTAAAATTTCTTTTAAAAAAGAGGAAATTCAGAGGACAGTGTGCCAAATGTGATCCCTTACTTATATACGTAAAGAAAACTATCTGAAAGTTTATAGGTTTCGTTACTTTACATCCTCATGTAAGAACTGAATCTTTGGCAGTAGGCGTCTATTCTCTTCTGTGTTGCCGTACACGTCCAGGGGAAGATCCCAGGTTCTAACATGGAACGCTACAGTCAGCTGGACATTTATTTCTTCCACAGGCTTTATTTCTACAAGATAAACACTCTAAGAAATTCAGCAATAAAATAGCCTTTTTAACTTAAAAAAAAAAAAAAAGCATTTGTTTTCCAAGCATGTGGAGGTATGTTAGATTCTGAGGACATAAAAATGCACGAGACGTGATCTCTGCCCCAAGAAGCCCACAGCGTGAGGCGGGGACAGCCTGCCACGCAGGTAAGCCGCCAATGTGGAGTTACTGGGAGAGGGACGGGAGGGTCGTCCCACCGGGAACGCAGCAGAACAGACTGGAGCTTGTCCTGGAGCTGAGTCCTAAGGACGAGCCGAGCAGACGGACCAGGAGAGAGAGACCCGCGGCCTTCTACTCCGGGAGACTGTTTCTCGATGGAGGCCTACAAATGCCCAGTGGTGAGGACTCCATGTCAAAGGTCAAACCGATGTCAAAGGTCAAACCGAAAGCATCTCCAGCCCTGTAAAATACTTCACCGGACACCGTCTCACTGTCTGTGCTGGCTGAGAATTACTTTCAGGTGCCGGTTATTCTTCACAAAATTTTTTTGGTCAAAAAATGTCTACAAAACTGCTTATTTATTTTCCTAAAGGGGGGGGCTAAGGCGGCTCCAGGCCCGCAGGGAGCCCACCTGGGGGGGGGGGGAGTCATCTCTCAATCCTGAGACCCTCACCTGAGGCAAGATCCAGGCTCAGCTGACACCACCGGGACCCCAGGGGCTTTTTAAATGAATGGTCCTACCGCAAGTCCCATTTTATTTCCTGATTGAAAAACAAACGAGGGCGGCCTGGGGGGGCTCAGCGTTTAGCGCCCGCCGCCTACGGCCCGGGGTCCCGGGATCGAGGCCGCGTGGGCGTGGGGCTCCCTGTGTGGGGCCTGCTGCTCCCTCTGCCTGGGTCTCTGCCCCCCCCCCCCCCGTGTCTCTCATGAATAAAATCAATAAAACAGATACAAATTCCTGAGCGCACCGTCAAAGACTCTGACAAAAAAACAAAACAAACCCACACCGCGTCACGTGCCAAGATACGTCACGTTGCCGCAAGGCTTGGGGCCCGCGCCCGGCAGGTTTGTAGAGGTCGCCCTACGCCGCGGTTGCCCTGCTCGACACCCGGGCCAGGCGCAGACACGCCCCACGCCACGCAGGCGGCACGGCCGGACCGAGGGGAGGTTTCCAGGTTGCGGCCCTTGGGGCGGAGTCTCCTCGGGCCGCACGGCCCCGCCTCAGAAGCCGCCTCAGCCCCCGCCACGCCTGCACAGCCCTGCACAGCGCCGCCTCAGCCCCACCTCGGGCCCGCAGAGCCCCGCACCGCCCCGCCTCAGCCCCCCCCGCCCCCCCCCCCCCCGCACAGCCCTGCCTCAGACACCGCCTCGGCCCCGCACAGCCCCGCACCGCCCTGCCTCAGCCCCACCTCAGACACCGCCTCAGCAACCCCCGGCAGCCCCGCCTCACTCAGAGCCACCACCTCAGCCACGCACCACCACCCCCCGCCCTGCACAGCCCCGCATAGCCCCGCCTCAGACCTCAGAGCCACCGCCCCGGCCCCGCCCCAGCCCGCCCAGCCCCGCCTCAGCGCCGCCCGGGGGAGCGCGCGGGCCCTTACCTCGTGCAGCGTCAGGTGCTTCCCGTCCTTCCGCTTGGAGTCGAAGCGGCCGTAGATGGCGCTGTACTTGCGGATCTCCTCCTCCTTGTGCGGGTCGTCGGCGCTCATGTCGAAGATGTGGCCGACCATCTTGGCCAGCTTCTTGTTGCTCCTGAGCAGCTCCCGCACCTCGCCCAGGTCGCTGCGGGGCAGCGTGGCGGCCAGGCGCTCCACGCACTCGGCCACAGAGAGCGCGGCGGCCGCGTCCAGCGCCTCGCCGCCCTCCCTCGGGGACGCGGGGGAGCCCAGGTCGCCGGGGGACAGGCTGGGCTCGCTGTCGGGGCCGCGCGGGCCCGTCCACAGCCGCGGCTCGCCCACGGCCGGCAGCACGAGGCCGCCCGGCGCCGCCGGCCGCCCGGGGCCCGCGCCCTGCACGCACGTGGCCGCGGCGCACTTGGGGGCCTGCGCGTGGGGCTCGCGCGCGCCGCTGCCCCGGTCAAGGCCGCTGCACGGCACCCCGAGCCACGCCGCGGAGCCGTCGGGCACCTTGTACACGGGGATGCTGCTCACGGGCAGCGACGTCAGCGGCTGGTTGAAGAGGCCAGGGTTGGTGACCCAGTCCCGCAGGGCCTTCTGCAGCCTCCGGACGTGCAGCGGCTTGCTGGCCATGCCCACGAGCGCCATGATCTCCAGGAACTCCTCCTCCCCGGCCTCGCACAGCTGCTGCACGTCATCCCCACCTTGCTGGATGAAGGCGTCGAAGTACGAGAGCAGGTTGGCCCTCTGCAGTATGCGGTAGAGCTGCAGCTCCCCCAGCGTCCTGGGCAAGGCCGCGGCCATCCCCGGCGAAGCGCGGGACCTGCGAGAGGAGACAGTACGCTCAGCACGCCGCCGCCCCCCGCCCCCCCGGGCGGCAACCGCGAGACTCCCAGATGCAGCGCGGGGGGGGGGGGGGGGGGGGCAGGCCGAGGAGACGCTCCAGCCCCGGTCCCCCACCCCCACCCCACGCGAGGGCCCGGCACTCGTCGCGGCTCAGGCCCAGGCATCCGCAGAGCTGCTGCCGGTTCAAGGTGAAAAACATAAAAAATAACAAGTGACTTGCCTGCAGGCTCGCGGCTGGTTACGCAGACCCTAAGCACCAAACCAGGGCTCACAGGGCCCCGACTTCTGACTATTCCGTTACGGCTTCCAGGGCACCGGCACACAGGCCAGGTGAAGCATAATCCGACCCGGAAGGCTGCTTTTGCATCAGACAATACCGATAAACACTTTACACCTACAAATGGTCCCCAACTTACAGGTTCAATTTATTTTTTTTTTAAGATTTTATTTACTTATTCATGAGAGACCCACAGAGAGAGAGAGAGAGGCAGAGACACAGGCAGAGGGAGAAGCAGGCTCCATGACTGGATCCCAGGATCCCTGGGCCACGCCCTAGGCCGAAGGCAGGTGCTAAACGGCTGAGCCCGACGGGCTGCCCTATTTTTCGACTTTATGATGGTGCGAGAGCCACAGGAGCCACAGGATTCCGTTTTGAATGGGGATCCTTTCCTGGGCGAGCGCGGCTCTCTCGTCAGGCCGGGCAGCAGCAGTGACCACGGCTTCCAGTCAGCCCCACAAGGAGGCCAGGCGGCTAACCACCGATGCGGTTACAACCACCCTGCCCTGTACCAACCATTGTTTTTCACTTTCAGAACAGTATTCCATAAATTACATAGGATACTCAACAACGTTATTATAAAATAGGCCTTGTGTTAGTGATTTGGCCCACACGTAAACTAACTAAGCGTTCTGAGCGCACTGAAGACCGGCTAGGCTAAGCTATGAAGTTAGGTGCATTAACAGCAACTCCTGACATTTTTTTTTTAACGTATGACAGGTTTATTGGAATGTAACCCCAATTGTAAGTCAAGGAAGATTGGTCGTTCTTGCGGCAGCTCTGCAAGACTGGTATAGTACTTGCCATTTTAGAAAAAGAAAAATATCAAGATTAGTTTGGCAGGCAGGGGAAAATGGATTTCAGCATGAACTGGAGGTAAGAGGTGGTCTATTTAAGAACGGAAGAAAAAAGAAGGAAAAATTCAACAAATAAAAGACAAGATTTGGTGATCACTAGGTGTAAGGGATGAAGTTAAGAAAATGGCTACGGGCTTTGGGGATACGGAAAAATCAGGATGGGATTCTTTTTCAAATATATGGCACCTGGAAATGGCGTAAGATAGAGTGCTTCAATAGATCTGCCCTGGGTGTAAAGTAACAGACGTGAATCTAGGTGAATCTTGGTGTGTGTAAGGGTCAGAGATACAGCATGCGACAGAGGAGGGTTTAAGAGCCCAAGACAGAGTCAAAGAAGAAACATACTTTTAGGGCCCAATCAAGACCAAGGAGCCTGCTTTTAAAAGACACAACAGGCAAAGCACTTCTTGACCTCTTAGCAGCCTTTAAAAGTTATTCACAGTTGCCTGGAGACCTCCCACATACAAAGAGGAGTTGGCCAAGTACTTCCATTTTAGAGAAACAAACATGTTGTAATCAACTTGTACCTTCAGCATTAAAAAGGACCCTGTAGCCCTCTATGGAGAAAAGGACAGAAGGGTAAAAGAATATGCACACTGGAGGAATATGGGAGCTCCACTCTCAATTCAAAATAGTACAGAGCAACACTTAACTGGGAGATAAGGCAAACAGAGCAATATTAGGAATATCTTTAAAGGCCAGGAGGTCCCCAAATCTGGGACTTGTGCTTTATGCCATCAACCAGAATGCTATCAAAATTCTAGTCTCAGTCCTCCCATTCAAGGAGAATGCATCTCCCTACTACCCTAAGGACTGACTTCTGGGAAGCCCCATCTTCAGGAATCTCTGTGTCACCCACAATCTGCTTTGATCAACTAGTGACCTCAAATTTTATGTTTTATTTTATATTATATATATTTTTTTATATTTATATTTTTATATTTCTATGTTTATATTTTTTATTTTATTTTATATTTTATTACAAACATATTGCCTAGTGACTTGATGACTTTCCAAAAGATACAAAAAAAGACTGAACCGGGGAGCAGCAGCTTTCTGCTAACATCCAGGACCATCACTTGGAGTGCTAATAAAAATACAACTTCCCAGGTCACTGAGTTGTATCTTAGGAGGCTCCCATGATTTGGCAAGTTTGGCAAACTCCACTAGAAGATTCCTATTTAGTATACCTTCTGGGCACCACAAACTCCTACATGTTTTGTAATCATTCAGATTCCTTAAGTCTACCTTCAGGTTCATGCCACTTTACCCCTCTGGATAAAAACATTCTTGCATCTTCTAAATCACCCGCAAGAGGATCCACTTGTCCTCCCACTCCAGGGAGACTCTCCAGGGAGGGTGTGAATCATCCAGCTGGACATTAAGCCACAAAAACACAGCTCTTGGGAATTACAGACACAACTTAAAAGTCTGTATTGAACTGCATTATACCAAGTAAAAGTACTTCTAGAACTTAAAGTACTAGCTAGTACTTCTAGCTATTAAAACTCTCTACATTTATAACTTAGATAAAAGTACACACAATTTCAAAAAGAAAAATGACGATATAGTCATATTATTTTTGAGATATGGAGGCAACCATCCTAAAAGCTAAGGAAAAGTTTGAAAGTGGTTTCCTTGGGATCCCTGGGTGGCGCAGCGGTTTGGCGCCTGCCTTTGGCCCAGGGCGCGATCCTGGAGTCCCGGGATCGAATCCCACGTCGGGCTCCCGGTGCATGGAGCCTGCTTCTCCCTCTGCCTGTGTCTCTGCCTCTCTCTCTCTCTCTCTCTCTGTGACTATCATAAATAAATAAAAAAAAAAGTTAAATGAACTGCATTATACCAAGTAAAAGTACTTCTAGAAAGTGTCTGAGGGAGAAGAAAGGAAACTTTCTTTCCCATCACACACCTAATACAACAGCTTCAAACACTTTCAACTCAAGAATTAAAAATATATATATATATACACACACACACACACACAAAACCACACATTGCACACACAATCGTTTTAAGAGGGCTATAAACCTGCAGATATCAGATATCTGTGCTCCCCAAAATTATGGAATAGAAGACTACGTGAGAAAGTGACTGTAGGAATAGCTTTTGAAGCTTTTTGATTAGCAATTAGAAAAAAATCTGTTAGACAAACATAAAAGGAAACTTAAGGAGAACTGAAGACCCAAACTTAAGTTTACTCTTCTAACACAGTCAATAGTTTTAGAAAATATTCATTTCATATTTTTATCCTTTCTCATCTTTACCCAGAAAGGAAAGTTGCCTAGTTCCTAAGTGGGTAAGAAAGCAGTACCAGTAAGAAAGTAGTAATTATTACACTATCTCCGTAATGACTGATAGGACCAAGTGTGCATTTCCAAAGTCAAGATACCAGATGAAAGAAATATGTGAGCTAGCTGGAGTCCCAGGAGGCTTCTAAAGGGCCCACACTTACTGCTGGGAAAGGAGTTTTCTCCTTAAGCTTTTGCTTTAGAAGAATGTTTCAGTTTCCTACAAAAGCCTGTTGTGATCATTTAAACACCCACCACTTCATACATTAACTTGATTTGATTTAAAAGAAAATTCTTATGAGATTTTCTGTTTTTACAAACGCTGTATCTATTCATGCTTCAACATGAAGGTCAAACAAATTAGGAGCAAGCTTCTAGCTGTAGCTCTCCAATGTGAAGTAAATAGAGAGATCCTAACAACACTATAAACGGGTAGCTAACAGTATAGTAAATCTACTCAGCTGAAAACTACTGCTACCTGGCCTTTCCAGGATGCTGGGACAACCACGCCGAGTCTGACGTTTCCGTGAATTTCACAGTTAAGAGAAACTAGTTACTAATTTTTACTGCCTTCAAAATCCAATCAAAGGCCTGCTGCCTATACACAGCAATCTCCACTCGCACTAGCTTAAACCTTGCTCAGCCCGGTCAGTTCCAGAGGATGGGGAATTAAACAACAATGGATTCGTTTAAGGCCATTTGTTGTCATTTGTTATTCATTAATCTATTTTAAATGGTAATGATTGTTCCAGAACCTTAAAAATAAAGCAAAACAAAACTTGCTTTGCCTCCTCACAAGGGAGGATCAATCATCTGCCAGATTCAAACCACGCTAAATGAAATAAGGGGTTAGCTTGGACCAGAAAACTTGACTAATCAACTCTTATTTTGTCCTTGAACCACAATGAAACACTCAGTGTGGCTATGAAAAGCAAAACTTTGACATTCTTCAAGTTGGTAATGTGGGGATTCAGTGCGGGACAGAAGGCCTTTACTAGTCACTAGGGGAAAGCAGCAGCATCCCTTAACCCTGCCTCAATCCATTCCAAGAAGCTTCTTTCTTAGAGCCCATGACTCTATCAAAACTCTCGAGTACCTACTGAGTTATCGCTGACCTCTCCCTCTAATGTCTCTGCAGCTTGCCCTAACTCCCTGAAGTGCTCACTACTGGACTTGGATAATGGCATATTATGCTCTCTTCCCTGACTTCCCTAAGCTTTCTAAACTTTCATATTAAATCTCTTTTCTGTTGTCTTTCCATTTTCTCCTTTGATGATCTCAACCACTCCCAGGTTTCCATACCACTCCCAACGATCACATATAGCAGCAGACTGACCTCCAAACTGCTGTCTGTAGCTTGGACTGGAGGCCACAGTGACTGGCAGATGCACAGCACGCACTGGCTGGTAAGTAAGAAACATGCCTCTCACACAGGTCTACTTTGCAAATGAACGTAAATAAACACCTAGTGATTTAATAAAATATAAACTCTTTAAAAGGGCATCCCAATTCATAGTAGCTGTTGTCATTACAGTATACTATTCTCGATCAACACTAAAGTAAAATTATCAATGAACATTTGTAATTTTTTAATTTAAAAAAATGATCTTCAAAACTGACCAGTTTGAGAACCATCAGCACAAATCATTTTTCTGTTAATTTTTCATTTCAACTACCACCTGGAGATTGTCAAAAATCTCGAATTTTCTAGGTCCAAAATCAAGCATCCATTTTCCTCCCTTCTTCCAGATTCCCAAATCCACTCTTCCCAACTCTCTTACTTCTGTAGTTGCGCCACTACTCTTTCATCTTTGTGCTTTCCTCTTCATTCCTCAAATCTTCATCTCCTTAAGCCACACCACCCTTTTTCTTTCTCTGCCTCAAAAGCACCTAATTCTACATTTCCCTACTTCGACTCTGAAAACAGCTGCCTTGCCTTTGATACATCATCCCACACTACCGTATCAACTTTATCTTCCTAAAGTACAGGTGTGGCTCTTTACCCACCTCTACAAATTTCCCCATTGCAAAGAAAAAGAAATTCAAACTACTCATATAGGCATCCCAGTCCCAAACCCAGCCTTCTCTCTGGTCCCTAGTATGTCCCTGTTCTCAGGCCAAACAGATACACCGGGCATTCCTTGAATGTGCCTCCCACTCCCCTGCCCCTGTGCCAGCCATACCCCCTCCGGCCCACCTCCACGGGCCTTCTCCACAAAGCCTTGCCCACACTCCCTGGGCGAGGTGTCCTCTTCCTTCTCTGAACCCTACACTACTTGATCTCTCATTCTTCCCCCACTTGTTCAAATATGCCAGTTACTAACCCAGTCCTGGGGATCTGGAGGAAAGAGGACCCTTCATGCAGAATGAGTTGTGAGGGTGAAAGAAGACAAATAGGCAGACAAACACTGTGATAAACGCTATGCTAAGTGTCATACGTGAGGAGCCATGGAATAAAGAAGCAACTTCACCGGGCTCTGCACAACATGTCATAAGCTCCCTGAGGGGAGGAACTGGGTCTCATTTCAGCTTTTACCCCTTACTTCTAGCCAAGTGTTGAATGTACAGTGACATCTCTATAAAGGCTCCTGTTGAATGAAACCCAACATTTGAGAAAGAATCTGATTAGCAGCCTCTTCACATTCCACATTATGCTCTCTGCGTACACTGGTGCCCAATGACCTATCACGTAGGTTAAGTATTACTGCTTTCCCTATAATTTTTTACCTTCTCTCACCCTCAATATTCTTCTTTCTTATAAGGCTGTCTTTGGATTCCCATAACATAGCTATTTTTCCAAGAGATCTAAGGATGTGTTCCCAACACCGGAATTAATAAGTACTTCCTGTGTTAGTCCAGTCCCAACACCATCATTTCAAAAGGTCATGAAAGATTCTAGGTCTTTTCCCTCTTTGACTCTGTAAATTAAAATGCAACGTAAGTTATCCTCAAATAACAAATATCAAGTGGACTCGTAATCACTACTCTTGAATCTTCCTATTCTGGGGTAGGAAACACACTCCCAGCACGTGCACACTTGTATGAGGTCTGTGGCAACGCAAGGAGTGGAGACTCCTCAGAGTGAGGAGAAACAAGGGCAGGACCCCAGTAAGATGGGACTTCTTTTGTATGCAAAGGACTATAAATTCCTTCCTCCCAACACAGCCTGAAATTTTTACTTTAGAACTGTCTAAATTAACAGCAGCGTCTTACAGACTTACACAAAATGTGAAAGAACTGGGGAAGAGTCAGCTCATGAGTCATTTACAGATTAAGGTGAATTAGTTCCACCAGACTGTTTTCCTCTTAACATCTAGCTGCAGATCCAGTGCCGGCTACAGGAATGAAAGACGGGGACTGGAAATGGTAAGGAAGGAAGAGGAGACCTGGGGGCAGAGACTGCATTTAAGGTCCCTGAAGCACCATCAAGTTTGGAAGACTGTGGCCTGAAGTTTAAGGGCCTGGTGAGGAGGGTGCACTGGGTACACTACGGGCTGAAACGGAAAAGGTGTATGCCAGGCCAGAGGGTGGCTTAGGGAAAGACGAGCCTTGAAGTCTAGGAAGTGAATTCCTCTAACTTTGGTCCTAGTGCTGGAACTCGAGCTAAAATAATTAACTGTGGCTTCAATCGCAGAGTTGGCCTAGGCACTAAATAACTCTGTGTATGTTCCAAGCACCAAGTGATCCACCTCGGCACGTTTCTTAGTAAGCATTCAGCGATCTTAAAATATTTGGGATCTTATTATTTTCATAGCTATGAACTAAACATGTAGTCCTAATGTGTTAATGGTAACCTGGGGAACTTAAACGTTCCCTCCTATTGATTTTTTTTTTTAAATTCTGAATAAAGCCCGGAGAAAAAATGTCCTACAGACCCCTTCATAAAAAAAAAATTAAAAAAAATAGGGCAGCCCCGGTGGCGCAGCGGTTTGGCACCGCCTGCAGCCCGCGGTGTGATCCTGGAGACCCGGGATCGAGTCCCACATCGGGCTTCCTGCATGGAGCCTGTTTCTCCCTCTGCTTGTGTCTCTGCCTCTCTCTCGCTCTGAGTGGATAAATAAATAAATCTTAAATAAATAAATAAATAAATAAATAAATGAATCTTAAATAAATAAATAAATAAATAAATAAATAAATAAATAAATAATCTTCATAGGCTATGGCTGGGAAGTTTTCAGTCAACTAACAGTCAAGCCATTCAATAAGCATTCATATTATCTGAGCATGTAGAATGCATGCTTTTTCCAGAAATTTCTTTAAAATTAAATTAACATACTGTGCAAACTAACTGTGCAGCCCCCTAAATACAAGGTATTGAGAAACGACAAACTATTTGAAAGCTTAATGCCACGTTTTAGCTGAAAATTGACAAGATGAGGATCACTATTTTTTTCCAGCACCAACTTCTGATTTCTCACTCGTTCCATTATTAAGTATAAGAGAGTATATTCTGCATTATTGTAATAGTTTTGAACATGTCAGATCAAAAAGGAAATCTGTATTTAATATCGTAACTGTAGTATTCTTCATTCCACTAAGAAGAACGAAAGAAGCAGAAAAGACAGAACTAAATCCGAAACAAAAGGGCTAAGAATCTTCTACTATGCTTGAAAGGGTATTATTTATTACTTAATATATTTCATAAACTCCACAATGAAATAACGCATATGAAAGACAATTAAACAGCGAGATCTTAAACTGTTCAAAACAGATTATAAAATGCTCAATTCCACGAAAATAACATAAAACATTATATACATAATGCACATGAATTGCACCAACAAAAACAGACTTCTAACCGAACAGATGAGGTCCAAGTCTTAGAGTTTAGGTCAAGAGACACAAAAACCTGACATAGTTGTTTCCATCCAACTACCCTTTTACTTCAAATATTTAGTTTAAACAATAGATTCTTCAAAGGTCTCTCCCACTTTGTAATACATTTCTTCTTCCAAAGCATCCAAAGTGCAAACCCCCCAAATCTTTAATAAACCATTATGTCCTTAAAGTGTGATTAAAATACCAAATGCTTTAACAGATTTTCTAACAACCAGGGGGATGAAAATACATGAACTTCACTGTAGACAATGGGTGTTATTTAGTAGTCACAAAAAGGGAAAATTTTCAATCAATTTGAAATTAAGTTGTATTCATAATTGTGAAAAAGAACAAGATGTACATTATTAAATACATCAAATTATTTATTAGACATATAAACTCATTAAATTTCCTTTTTATCAGGTATGGCATTCCTAAGAATTTGTCATTTTAATTACATCCACAGTTAGCAGGCAAAGTGAGATAAAATTTAAAAATCTACAACGCCTCAGTGTTTTTATTACCATTGGTTCATCCACATATTAACCGGGAATCACCAGAGCCAAAGAATATGAAATGTTTCCAATACCAGGATGGCATATTAACTTTCCTGCAAGATGCCAAACTAGTAAAATCAAAACAAGAAAGTTTCCAATGATTCCTTGAAATTTTCTTTCAAGACCTCTGGCATCCAACACCCAAACAAGAATAATGAAGGCTGACCTTGCCAGACAGCCATACATTCTTAAGAGAATCTTTATATGTGTATCAATACCTGTAAGGACAACATAACTTTGAAGTTTAAAAAACAATACTAAAATGTCTCAGTACTGGAAAACGGAGGAAAATGGATACCCTTGAATCTAAGAGCCACTTGTACTGGCACTGAGACTGAGAGCAGCTCTTTGAAGTCTTCAGGAAAATATCAGCCTCCACCCAAAATAAAGTAAGTAAATCCTAAGCATCCTTTTCCAGTATTTCTTCTTGAAACCCACATATAAATCACGATGTGTCATAATTTGTTATGTTTTACAAGAGAAAATTCTCAAAAAAAAGTGAAAAACCTAAAAACGTAATTCCCCGTGTGCACACTTTTCCGACAAAACAGCCTAGCATTTCCTACGTGACTAATCTATTTTAAATTCCGTTCCTGTTCCTATGCAATCTAATATCATCTATTAAAAGTGCCAAAATATTTTTAAACAAGATCTGAGAATTTCCCTCGCAGCTCCTGATCTTTGCACTCCTGGAGTTTGCAGACGAGCCGACTGGTGGTGACAGGTTACCCTGAGTCAACTCTTTCGGAGGAGAGTTTAAACTGACAGCTACCCCCCCCACCCAATTTTCCACGCCCGCCGGATCTCCAGGGGCGGGAGGGGGGGCACGTGAGAGTCGAGGGGTCCTATCACCTGCTGCAAACTTGGTCTGCGGGCCCGTCCGCGCACCTTCCGGCCCAAGCTCCGTGTCCCGGGGCCTTCGAGCCGGACCCAGGCCGCCGGGAGCGTCGTTTCAGGGCTCGGCCTTGCGACCCTGAGGCCCCCGGCCCGAGCCGGCGCACCTGAGACGCGACCCCGGCGAGCGAGCATCCCCGCGCGCCCGGCAGGTGTCCGCGAGCTCCTGCAGCGGGACGCGGCTTCCGCCCTCGGCGGCCTCGGGGCGGGGGGGAGGGGCGGAGGGGGGCTCCGGCCGCGGGCGCCCCGGGAGTCCGCCTGCCCAGGGCCAGCGGCGCGCGCCGCCCGCCGCCAACCCCGTGCGCCCTGGCCCCGTGCGCCCCGTGCACCCCGGCCTCCCGGCCCGTGCACCCCGCGCGCCCTCCCCGCGCTCCGGCCCCCCCCCCGGGGTCGCCCACGCGCGCCGGGGCCGCCCCCTCCGGCCTGGACGCCGCCCCGCGCCCCGACCCCTGGGCCCGCGAGCAGGTACGTACCCGGCCCGCGGCGCGGCTGCGGCGGCCTCGGCGGCCTCGGCCCGTCTCCCGCCGGCGCCGCTCAGCGCCAACTCCGGAGTGGCGGCCGCCCGCTCTCCCCGCTCCGGCGGCTGCGGCGGCCCCGACGCCCCCGCGCCATCGGGGGGAAGGGACGCTGGTGGGCGCGCTCTCCCGGCTCCCCGCCCCCGCCGCCGGCCCCGACGGCGCTCCGCTCGCCGCCAACGCCGCGCCGGCCCGGCTCCCCAGCGCGGGCGGAGGCCGCAGCCCCGCCCCCGCCCTCCTCCCCCTCCCCGCCCGCCCCCGCTCCCCTCCCCCTCCCCGCCCCCGCCGCGCCGCACCCCGCCCCCGCCCGCTCCCCCCGCTCCTCCCGCCGCGCCGCTCCCCTCCCCCCGCTGCTCCGGGCGCGCTACACCCCGCCCCCGCCCCGCTCCCCCCGCCGCCCCCGTCCTCCCTGCGCGCGGCACCCCTCCCCGCCTCCGCTCCGCCCCCCCGCTCCTCCCGCCGCACCCCGCACCCCGCGCCCCCGCCCCGCTCCTCCCGCCGCGCCGCTCCCCTCCCCATCCCCCCGCCCCCGCCCCCGCCCCCCCGCGCGCTGTCACATCGGGAGATTCCGCTCTTGCTACATTCGCCGCTGCGGCTCCCGCCCACGCGCGGCCGAGTGACGCAGATCCCGGCGTGGGCCGCGGGGCGGGGGCGGGGGCGGCGCGGCCCGGGCTCGGCCCCTCGCCGCCGCCCCCGCCGCGGAATCCGGAGGGCGGCCCGTCCCGCTGGCAGCTGGGAGGACCCGGGCGGGGGCGGGAAGGAGGGGAGGGGAGGAGGGGGAGGAGGGGAGGGTGGAGGGATGGGGAGGGGAGGAGGGGAGGAGGGGAGGCAGGAAAGGAGAGGGAGGGGCAGAGGGGGAGGGAGGGATGGGAAGGAGGAGGAGGGAGGAGGGGGAGGGGAGGGGGCCGCCGCCTCGGGCCTGCTCTCCAGCCGCCTGCCGCCCCGGGAAGATTTGCAATTAAAAAAAATGTCTCCCATCCAACTTGCGAGGTCCCCGAGGTCCCCGAGGTCCCCGAGCTGGTATTTCAGGAGCGGAGCCCGCCCGGCTCTGCCCTGCCCTGCCCCCAGGCCGCCGCGGAAGCCGGCGGGGGCGGGGGCGCCAGGTGCGGCCCTCGCGTGGGTCCCGGGCGCGCGGCGCGGGGGCGGCAGGTGCGGGCCGGCCCACCCGCGGCCCCGGGGACCCCCGCGCAGCCGTTCGCGGGGACCCCCGGCGGGGGGCGCCCCTTCGCACCCTCCCGCACCGCCTCCGCTCTCCAGAACAGGCCCGGGACCCGAACGCCCAGCTCCCGGGGCGCCGGGGCACCTCGGAGTTCCGTGTGCATAAACTTTTCTACCCAAAGGAAGTCTTGAAACCTCCATAAATGCACTTCAACTATTGCAAAAAGAAAAAAAAAAAGAAAAAAATCGGAAATTTGTTTTAGGATCTATTCTCTTTACAAAAATGGGAAAATGAAAGCATTCCCCCAATTTGAGCAACGTGCTCTGCAGGGACAGAACGCATTTACTAAACCTGCAACTACCGCCAGTGCAGGTAGGATCCGGTCTTCACGTACATCTAAAGATCCAGTTGTAGGGGAAGCCGGACGCGTCCTGGCCGGGCTCCCAGAGGGGCCTCCTCTGCTGCTGGCACACAAGGCCGCCTTTGAGATGGGAAAATTCTTCCCTACCACGTCTTTATGTTGTAGCACTGGATGGGATGATAACATCGAAAGAAAAAGACCTTTTGAAAGTACTGGACTTTTTTTTTCCCTTTTTTTTCAAAAACATGTTGAAAGAATGAGTAATACCACGACAGGGTATATATAATTAATCCTTTTTCCAGGGTGAGGGAAAGGTTCTGTATGAAGTCGTCGTGTTGATGTTATCAAATGAATAAGCAATGCTTGCTTCCTCAAATCCTTCAACTGAAGAAATCACTACTGGAAGTTCGTCTTAGCCTAAGTGTCATGGTTTTTGCTGCTGTGGACCTTGTTCTGCTAAAGAGACCATCAACAAAGTATCATAACTTACAGACCATTTCTTGGAAAGGTACAGGTTAACAGAGTTTCGAGCAATTGAAATCTGCAAAGTTCCGATTTCTCTCTGGAATCTTGATGTTTTGCAAATGTGTTGGTTCTGAACCACTAGAAAAAAAAGAACTTTCGTCCATAAATTTGTACAATTAGTGTTTCACAAGTCGTGAAATGAGCAGTCTTAACCTGGACTATTGAGTCTCCCAGTAGAATTGTTGTCAGAATTGGCCTGAAGGCCATTAAATCCTCTTCCTGAACCTGTTTTTGTTTGGCCAGTATTGAACGTAATGCTGAAA